TACCGATAAGAATGAGTAATCTGCGATAGACTTCCAGTTGATGGTGGTGCGCTAGCAGACTCACCTCCCAGACCTCCCGGGGGTGAAGCTACGCACCAGCAGAAGGAGGGGGTGCGCAGGATCGTTACCCCCCCAGAGACCCGGTTGAAGGGTCGCTGGCCATGGGACTCTCGAGAGTTCGCCTCTTCGCTGGCGTAATGCAGGGGAATTGAGGCGCCTCTCCGTCCTGAAGGTTCTTCATGTTGTGTGGCCGAATGGAACTAAGTGACACCGACCGGGGCAAGCGCAGGAGATCGAGTGCAGAAACGGAGCTAAAACTAGGTCTGAGGACCAATTATGAACGTGAGTTCATTTAAAGCGTACCGGTTAAATTGAAAAGATAGCTCCCCACCCCATGGAACAAAAAGTGAGGCGAGAGGGGGAGGGACGCCTCCCATGTGCATGAACTTTTAAGTGAATTGGAGAGGGGGGAGCGGAAGAGAAAGCGGAGAAAACTATTAAGAAAGACTTACCAAGGCGAGCTTGAGCATATAAGCGCATATTCAGAGACTTTTAAAATATTTGCGAAAGTAAACAATCCTTAAAGATGGCGGGGAAGAGGACAGAGAAAGAGAAACTTTTAAAAGCGAAAGGAACGGAGAGTCCAAGACCGGAAGGAACCAACGAGCTGCCAAAGACATTAGCAGAATCCATGCACCCTCTGCTGGATCAGATGAGTAACCTCAGGGAGCAGCTGTCAATAATGAAACAATGCATCACCACTCAGCAAACACAGTTGAATGAGACGCTTAAAATGATGAACCAAACAGCTGAGAAGGTGAAAGAAGTGGACGCCACTGCTCAAAAGGTGAAAAAGAAGGTACAAAAACTGGAAAAGAAGCAAATCTCCATGGAAGAACAGTTGCTGCAATTACAAATGGAAAAGGCTAATTTGATTCTTCGCTTCCAGGGCATTCCAGAGACTAAGGGAGAGAATCTAAAGGAAATGATGACATACTGGCCCCAGTGATGGATATGAAGGCGGAATCTTTGCTGAGCGATATGGATGTGGCCTATAGGTCATATTCTGGATATATAAAGAAGAATAATCTGCCTGGGGAAATAGTGATAAGATTCTTGAAGAGGCATGTGAGGGATGCAATCCTGAAAGCGGCATCTGGAACACCCGTGAAAGTTGGAGACAATACTATCAGGATTTTAAAAGACATTCCATTTGAAATAAGACAAAGGAGGAAGAAATACAAAGACTTAGTTATTTTTTTTCAGACAAATGCAATTGGATACAGATGGCTAACTCCAGAATGCGTCACCTTCAAAATCAAGGACAAAAAAGAGAAGATTGACTCTGCACAGAAAGCACAGGAATTTTTGAGAATCCAGTTGGGAGAGCCAGAGGAGGAAGAAAAAGAAGAGATGGACAGTAAGTCCAGTGGCAAGCTGGACTCCAGATCTTCCAGAGAGGACTCTCTATCAGAGAAAGGGGCAGCAGCCCCTAAAAGTCCTTATAAATTGCGGAAGAGACAGGGAAAGGGAAAATGAAGGCTGAAGGACTCTGAATTGTGCCTTTGAAAGTATTGAAACTAGATGCTGAGGGGTCTTACCTGTTAACAGTTAAGTTTAAGTTTTGAAAGAGATAATATGAATTGTAACTCAATTCATAATGCTACTAGCGTGATTGAGAGATAGTGTATATTTAAGCTAATTTGATGATCTCCTCTCTTGGGTTTTTAGTCAGTAGTGGGCATCTTTTCTTTATCCCTTAAATGTAGTCCCCTCCCTCATTTCTATTATAGTTTGTAGTCTTAATAAAAATGCAATAAAAAATTCCCCATTGGGGAGCAAAAGAAAAAGAAAAAGAATGAGTAATCTGCGATGTACTGAGGAGCCCTCTAATTTAGTCCATCATCAATCCCGGGCAATACTGTCAAAAGTCACAAAACAAGCTTAGGCTCTATAAGAAGCTAAGTGCTCATATATTTCAATTCCCTCACTAGAACTGCCACACCTCTCATCTCTAATCTCCCAGGGCAAGTTGTATAGCACTTTTCACTTTCTCACTGACCATGCATTTACCACTCCCATACTGCTATCTCTCCAGTGTCCCCAAACTTCCTATCTCTTTCTTAAGCAGCCTTTGCAGCATTATTATTTAGGAAATGTTTATGCTGCCTTTCCAAAGCCCTACCAGCTTTCAAGTAAAAATACCATAAAGCCATCATAAACTGTCCTTAAAGCCACTGTGCATACCCTTAGATTTTATACTCCCTTCCCATTTCCAATCTTAATATTTTGCTCATGTATTTTACACCTTAGCCAATGATGAGTCGCTACATGCAGGAACTAGGTACTTACATTCCCTGTTCACAAGTCAGACCTTTGCCACCACGAAACACCTATAATCACGCAAAATGCTTTAAAGATGGTAAGGAGTTTGAAATATGAAGCTTTACCATCAATCACTGTCATGTGTAAAGCGTACACCTTATATAAAACTTTGTTGGTCTTAATCTGATAGCTGCCTTGGTGGCTCTGCTGATGGAAGAAAAGCAGGGTATACATTTTCTAAATAAATAACAGCCTCTAATAGAGGGGTCCCCAACATGATGCCCATGAGCTCCATGGCACGCACCAGCACCTTTCCTGATGGGGTCTGTCCAGGACTTTTTTTGTAGAAAAAGCCCAGCAGGAACTCATTAGCATAATAGGCCACACCCAACAGCAGAAACACATTAGCATATTAGGCCACACCCCTTATAGTACAGTTCATTATCATATTAGGCCATACCCCCATGTTACCAGGAGTGTGCTCATCCAGCCACACCCACCTTTTGCTTCTTATTCTGTTTACCTTGTTTGTTGTCAAAACCCAAAGCTTTTTTTGTAGCAGGAACTCCTTTGCATGTTAGGCCACACACCCCGATGTAGCCAATCCTAATGAGTTTCTGCTGTTGGGTGTGGCCTGTTATGCTAATGAGCTCCTGCTGGGTGTGGCCAACTCAGGAGCCAGCCGGAACTCCGTTCCTGTGTGTTCCTGCCCAAAAATAGCCCTGGGTCCGTCCCATTTTTTTTTTAATATGATCCCCTCCCTTTTTCCTCTGCACTTGGGCTTCCACTTCCCTTTTGTGATGGGCTCCATCTCCCCTGGAAGCCATTTCATGTTTGAATCGACCACCTTGTGTCAGAGTTCCAAAGGTGCTCAGAGGGTTAAAAAGGTTGGGAACCCCTTCTCTAATACATAGGACAGTTTCTGCAAACAGTTGATAATCCTATAATAATATTCAAGAGCCAGAGGGTGTTTTTTTAAGCCTCTCGCTGACAGGGGGAGGAAATGGCCACAACAGGACAGAGGAATGACTGCCATACGGGCAGGACCAAGACAATCCAAACTTTACACCCACACAGAAGCCACCCAGACTTTTCTGTGACCTTCCCCAAAACGCTGCAATAAAGCAGTTTGAGAAAAACAGGGAAAACCTGAGATGTACATGAACACAGCAAATGCTGAGAAGCTGGCGGGAAAAAAACCTCTGAATCCAGGGGCAAATAACCACTGTAGAAAAGACCCAAGACTATCACTGCATCCACACATTAGTAAAATCACGTGTTGCATTTCTGCCTGTCAAATGGCTGCAAATGCAGTATGGCTGTTGCCATGACGCTATCTAAATCTGCTGAATGTAGCAGCATGATGGGCAGAAATAAGTTATGGGCAGAAGTTATGTTAAATATTAATATAGAAGATGTTTTAAAATTATCCATAAGTGGCACCTTCATACAAAAGAATGCTACTCTTGCTTTTTTCCCTCTTGAGGACTTCTGTCTCTTTAATAGCTACTACTACAGGCAGACATACAGCTTCTCCTAAAAAAAAGTATCCTAACAGAAAAGCTCCACCTACTGAAATTCTACCTATTATGCAGTTTTTTAAAAAAATAACACTTCCAGGGAAGGGTTGATGACTATGTTCATACTTCTCTGTCAACATTTATATTACTGCTTTACATGCCATCTTATAAAAACTTCAGCAACAGGCAGAAGTTCAAGAGATACTAGCAGGACACTTGCACCTTAACGTCCTGGAAGACAAACACAGACATAAAGACAGCCAGCACCATGCAATGGTCAAAGTATCAGACTAGGATTTGGGAGACCCAGGAAGCTTGCTAGGTGGATTTGGACCAGTCACACAACTTCAAGATAGCCTACCTCACAGGGTTGCTGTGGGGATAAAATGGAGAAGACAAGCTGGTCTAGATCCCCATTGGAGAGAAAGGCAGGGTATAAGTGAAGTATGGAAATTTAGTCTGACCAGGGTGGGGAAATGATGTATATTACAAGTGTCAAAATCTGTACAGTCGCTGATCTTAAGAATCTTCCACCAGTTGAGCAACTAAAACCTCTGGAATCCTCCATGATCTAGCTACAAAAGCTCCATAAATTAATGTCAAATAGTAGGAAATTTGTTTTTAATTGGCCCCCCTCCCCCAATTGCTAAAACAACCGTTCTTCCCAAAAGCAAAGATGGCTCAGCACATAGCAAGATAAATCCATCACACCTTTTCCACAAATGCAACTAAAACTGAAGAATATATGATATTTTAAGGAGATATTTAACACGTGAAACCTTCCCTTGAACAAAGGCAAAGTAAGTGACAAAAACAGTTCTCGATTTGTTAAAGAGCTCAATAGCTGTACTAATTTAAATCAGTTAGTTGAATACAGCATTCACGTGTGGATACTATTCTCAAAGAAATAAAATTTCCCCCCTTTATTTTCCTCTAATGCAGACACACACGCCACAGCTGAAAGCCTCCCGCCCAGACATGTCTTACATTTAACCCTTATTTTCCCCAAAAAAATCCAAGTATTTTGATGAATGTGATCTTTTAAAAGACTGAGTATAGTGTCCCCTCCCCCCGCTGTGCCTGCCTGTCACGCCACCGTCAAGAGCACAGGTCGCCGTCCCCTTCCCTTCCCCTCCCGCGGCGGCGAACACGCACCCAGAGAGCCGCCTCCGAGTAAGACGGCGCCGGTGAGGGCCCCCGCCGAAGCCCCGTAGATCTGGTGCGCGTCGCGGATAAGATGCGGGGCGCGCTCCTGCAAGCAGGAGGCAGCTCCGATGTGATAAACACCCAAGAAGCCGCATCCCGCAAACGACACGTTCCAGCCGCCCTTGCGGTCCAGCATCCTGCAGAGCCTCCGTAGGGTGAGGCGCGGCGGCCACAGAGACGCGCTTCCTCTCCTCTTCCTCACACAGCCGCCTGCACAGTTTCATAATCAGAAGCCCCGCGACGACAACACGGCACCGTCTCCCCGCCCCGGGATGTGGTGCCAGACGTTACAGCCAATTGGTTGGCGGCATTCAAATCAGCAGAGGCCCTGAAGGGGGCGGAGGTCGACAGTCAGGGGTCATTTCGTAGAAAAAGAGTGGCAGGAGCTTATTAGCATATTCCACACACCCTGACATCACCGGAAGTGTGCACCAGCCACTCTGACAGGCAGAAGCACCTGGGATCCATTCTTTTCCCCCTCTCCCTTCCCTCCCTCTCGAAGCCCGGTGAAGGAAAAGGGGAGGGGGAGGATCTCAGGCGCTTCCGCCTGACAGAGGTGCTGACCTGCCCACAGCCAGCCTGGGTGAATTATAGAATCACTAGCAGTAAAGCCCTTGTGGAAATAAATACAAGGAGATCTAGAAAGAGGCTCTGGGGGAGTGCTCTGGCTTTGGGCAAACAGTGTCATTTTGCTGTGGTGACCTCAGCAGGGTATAATGACAGACTCCACTGTTTTCTCCAGAGGAACTGATCTCTGCTCCCTGAAGAGCAGTTGTAATTTTGAGTGATCTGTAGCCCTCACCTGGAAATTGGCAACAATTGTTACCCAGGACCAAATGGCTGGTTTGGAGGGTGGAGTCTATGGCATTCTACCTGTCTGATGTCCCACCCCTCCGCAAACCCCGCCCTCTCCAGGCTCCACCCCTCAAATCCCCAGGAATTTGCCAGCCTGGAGTTGGCAACCCCATCTCCTTCGCAGCTAACCATCAACCTACCATTATCTGCCCCTTTGACTTCAGCTGACTTCCGCCCTCCCTTCTGCAGAGCAATTGTAATTTTGAGTGGTCTCCAGCCCTCACCTGGAGATTGGCAACAATGGTTCCCCATGAGGGACTGAGTGGTTTGGAGGGTGGAGTCTATGGCATTGTACCTGTCTGAGGTCCCACCCCTCCTCAAACCTCACCCTCTTCAGGCTCCATCCCTCAAATCTCCAGGAATTTCCCATCGGGAGTTGGCAACCCTATCAGGATTGGCCCCAATATGTTTTCTCCCAAAGGCCAAAGTAGGTGACAGGACCAAGCTTAGTTGCCTACCAACAGGCATTGATGGGAGTTGGCAACCCTATCAGGATTGGCCCCAATATGTTTTCTCCCAAAGGCCAAAGTAGGTGACTGGACCAAACTTAGTTGCCTACCAACAGGCACTGAGGGGAAAGTAGGGTTGCCAGCTATAAGGAGGGAAATACCTGGAGTTTTGGGGGGTGGATTCTGTTCTCCAGGGGAAACTGATCTCTGTCATCTGGAAATCAATTGTAGCAGTGGGAGATCTCCAGGTCCCACCTGGAGATTAGCAATCCTAGGGGAAAGTCAGCTGCACAGCAGGGGGTTGAAGAGAATGGTTTGATGGGTGCTGGGCCAAGATTGGCAACAATACTTCCCCAGGAGCAA